TCATTTGGCCTGGAGAAGAGAAGGTTAGCATGGGAGCTAACTGCAGACTAACACTGCTGAAAAAGGGATTGTGAATTAAGATGCATCCAAGCTTTTCCTGCAAGTGCACAGTGAACAGACAAGAGGCAATGCTGCAAACCATGGAAGATCCTTTTCAACTAAAGGAACACATTATTTACCATGAGAGTGCTGCAGCCCTGGGCCAGGCTGCCTAGAGGGGTGGTGGAATCAACCTGCTCTAGGCAGCCCAGTTGGGAACAGATCACCTCCAGGGCTCCCTTCCAGCCTCAAGTGCTCTGTGATTCTGATCTTAGCTGTTGATTTTAACATTCTGTCCAGTTTCAGCCACCCAGCTTCAATCATATTCACAGGAAGATGTTTCCTTTCATGTGGTAGCACCTCTGACCCTTGTTTATCATCTAACATCCTAGAGAAATTGTAAAATATGACAATAAAAATTCTAATTAAAATTCTAACCCAACTGAAAAATTGTATTTATTTTGTGCATGGTTTCTGGGTATCATTTACATATCTGGAGTTGACTTATGATTGCATTTATATGTCATAGGATATGTCACTATTTGTTTTAAGCTTTCTTGATCATCTTAATCTGCATCCTTAGACTATTACCTCTCTGGGGCAGTGGAGAACAGGAGAACCCTGCAACCTTTTCTTTCCACAGTATTGGACAAGGTGCCACAAATCAGAACCTTCCCCACTAGCCAGAGAGGCTCATTTGATTTTCAGAAACTCTTCCTTTCGCACTCACTCTGCCCACAGGAGACTTTCTGATAAAATCTTCTGGGTATTTCCTTTCCTTCAGCTATTTCTAAACCTTGCTAGATGCATGAAGTGAAGATCACTGTGATTTTTTGATTCCGATATGAATCACTGCCCCAGATAGTCCCTATGACCAACTTCACGGTCTTTTGGGGAGCTCCAGCTCCAGGCACAGCTTGTAGGGTGCCAGGAACTGCACCCACTGCAGTTGGCAGAGATGCAGAGTAGCCTGCAAATAAAAGGGAAAGGGCTGGAGACAGTCATCTGTGGGGGCTGAGAAGAATGTAGGAAGTGGAAGTGTCACTAGGTGGATCCTCATTGAGAAATGGAGTGAAGAAAAATTTGGCCGCAGTGAGCAGTGCTGTGCTGGGTCTTTGTCAGAAGCAAGTGGTGGACTTGCAGCACCCACTCGCAGAGACAGCTTACTGCCAACCTGCTGTTTGTAAATATGTGTCAGCAACAGCAGGTTTTAAAGATTAAAGCTGTCAAGGGAAAACTAATGCTGAGTTTCCAAGACTTTATGGGATTGAATCCTCATCTTTAACACTACTCAGGATGAACATAGTTCTTGCCTAATTCTTAGAGACTTTCCTGTATGAGTCATTGTTCACAAGAGAATAGCAGCTTTATACACAGATGGTTGCAGAACAGAGACACCATTGAGAGGAAAACACTGAGGCATCTATGTCCTACAGATACAGGCATACACATATACACAGATCAACAAATTCATCCACAGAAAGCAGTCAGTCCTGCTCAGTGTGCTCAGGCAGAATCTCTGCTCTTTCATGACATAAGAAATCCCTGATGGAATTCAAGTAATGAGCAATTCATGCTGAAGAGGGAAGCTTAGTGTCAGTGAAATATCAATGTCCAAACTAGCACACCCAGAGGGAGTTTGGCTGGAGGACTGCTTTGCTGGACTGTTCTTCTTAGCTGGCCAGAAGCCCGGTTCTCCATGGGATCAAAAGAAAAGATCAGATGCTCTGGGACCCAGCAAGCTGTTGTAGACGATCTGGCAAGTCCAGACCACACCATTAAGACTGATGCTAAGCCAGAGGGAAGGAGGTTTGAAGGAAGTTTAGGTGCTTTCATCACAGTCCTCTAGGCAAGTTTTCCTGCTTTTCCAATGCCTCTCCATGTGATCTTGGACACCTTAAAGTAGGTGATTCATGTAGGCTCATGCCCACATCTCCAGATGCAGGTAACTTTCAGTTCAGTGGCTCAGGTTTGGACATCAGTGCCACTATAACAGTGGAAAGGTCACTGTGGGTGGGTTCTGCCTGTGACTGTGCGCCAGCATTGCCTCAGATGAAACAGGCAAAGGACAGGCTTGCAAATATAGTGCCTGCACTGGAAACTTGCTACAGAATTTTATGGATACCAAAAGTTTGCATGGGCTCAAAAAATAATTGCCCTAAGTAATGGCAATGCGCTATTAAATACAAGATACTACCCCTAACTTGGGAAGACCTGAGCTATCATTTGCTGGGAATCGAGAGGCTATTCCGCAGAAATACTTCTTTGCACCTGTGCTTTTCCCTAGACTTCTGCTATTACATAATAAACCAGATAGACTGATGTCCTGATCCAGAACTGTCTTATGTCGTTGTATAACACTTAGAAGTTGAGACCCAAATGACCACAGCTTGCCTGTTACTGATACTGAAAGTGTATGATTTATAGATAATGCCTTTCTTCCTTTCCATGACTTTTCCACTTAGCATGAAATAGTTAAACATTCAATAAATAACATTGTGTGACCTAGTGCTTATGGAGCTGTAGAAAGAGAAGGCTGCTGCTTGGAGCTGCAGAGAAGGCAAGGCAACACCATTTCAAGCAAGGGGTTTGTGACAGCTGGCTGCTGTTGACACCTAACTCTAAGGGAAAGACTCAGAATTGTGATTCACATTTGTATGACCAAACATGTGCCTGTCATGTAACAGGGTGGGACCTGCCCTGTCTCTCAATGGGAAACATGTCGACTGGAAGCAGAATGATGTTATCGGAACAGTTTGTTGTTCTCAGCCTGCTTCCAAGAAAGGAAGTGAATGGAAGCAGTCAGCTTTCCAGGTGAATTATCCTGGCAGGCAAATCCAGTTTAGTCTCAGGTGAATCATCACAAACTGTTTGTTCACATAATATCACTGTCCATTTATAGACTCAGACTATGTTTGTTCATGTCTGACTCTAAAATAGTAGGTACAGCTCTGGGCACTGTTAACAACAAAGATGACTAAACCTACCCTGGAACATCACTAAGTTTTACAATGGCCATAATAAGGCAGGACACTGCACATCTGATCTTATGAAAATAATTCTGAAAAGAATTGACCTTGTACAAGAGGAGTTCCAAGGTCACTGGAGCCACAAGAAACACTGATAAAGGCAGAAATCAAAGGTAAAGCCATTCTGTATTATGAAGTGCATTTTTTAATTGTGTTTGAATCACATATTTGGTCATATGAATATGACTCATAACTCTGAGTCCTCTTCTTGGAATGTTTGAGGTCCTGGATGCCTAAATTTCCAACTGTGATACTCAAGAATATCTGGCTTAGGAAATCCCTAAACTGCAGCCTGGTGGACGATGGAAGAGCACTGCTATGTGTTGTCCTGCTCTTTCACTCCACCCTATGCATTCTTTTTGAGTTTCTGCCAGAAAGAAGACTGTAGAATAGATGAAATATTGTTCTGAGGTCCTGTATCTGTTCTTATATCGCGGCTGTTCAAAGCACTGAGAATGACCCCTTCCATCAAAAGCTATGGATTTTAAGCTTTTAACAACTGGAACTATCTTTTGTGTACAGGCTCAGAACATTTCCTCTCCAACAACAGAACTGATTTCTGCTAGTCATTTAGACTTCAAAGGTCATTTAAAGATCCAGAGCTACATGTGGTTTCTTTTTAGTCTCTTTCGGCCCTGGTTCTTGGCCTCAGGAGATCTCCTGGTGTTGCTGTGTCTTGCAAACAGGTATGGCAAATCAATTAAATCAAATAAAAAGCTCTCCCATGTACCTGTGCAAACCCTTTCTCATTTTGAGCTCCGCAGGATCTTTTCAGTGAAGACAGCAGGAGTCATTTAGCTCTTTGCCATGGGCTGGACAGATTGTCAGATGTTGCTTTAAACAAACAAAACATCGACCATGTTGCTTCTACAACTGTTGGGTGTGAACTTTCTTCTGTTACTCCCAAATTGGTTTTAGGTCCCTCTTCAGGGAATATGCCTATCTATACAGGGCTTGTTTTAGTGGTGTCATTTTAAGTTCCAGGCACAATCTGTAAAATCATGGAATAAATTCTCTCTGACTGGATGATCATAACTGAGGCTCTCTGCAGTGCTATGTGAAGTTGGTTCCTCTCATTGACAGATAGCATTTTGGTGACACTAAGGTTTGTTAAAAAGTTAGATGTCCAAGGCTGAGGTCTTCACCTTAGACTGTTTGGTGGCAGACAGGGAGAAGAAGATCCTTTCAAGGTGAGGTTTATCTCACCCTAACACAGATTATGTTCGTGTGGCACTAATTTTAGCATTACTTTCTCATTGCTAAGTAGAATACCCTCCTAGAACAGACGACAGAGTGAATATGACAGTTCTGATGGCTCAGGAAATAAAATCAGGGAAATCTTGCAGCCAAAGGGATTGTTTGATCACTCACTCAGACCTGCTGAGTACTGGCCAGAGAACACCTGCATCCAGCCAAGCTGGAACAGATGACAGATAAAAAGGCTGAGACTGGAAGCTGACTAATTCATTCCAATACCTGGTACCCTTGAAGTTGCAAATCTGCATGTTTCTGGGATGGCTTTTATATCTTCCATCTAGTGACTCTGGCTGTGATTATCTTATGCTAGATAAAAAAGCTTTTCATGCTCAGAAATAACTTTCTTCATAGACAGTAAGCATGACACCCTTTAACATCCTTCACAACAAAGACAATATATGATGCAGGAGCAAACATAGGTCTAAGCCTTTGATAAAAGCTCTCCGTGCAAGGAGTAAAGTCATTTTGCAAGTGGAGGAGAAGGACCAGACATATCTCAAGAGAAACTAAGCATACAATTATCTGCACAATGAAATAAGGATTACTTACAGGGATTACTTCAAAGTTGTGTACTTCCAGTGACTGAAAGGGATCCTCTGATATGTATGGAGCCCTTCTGTTGTAAACTGGATGGTCATACACAAACTGTGGAATAAGAATGAAGCTAGTGCTTACCTTTGGGCTTGCCTGCTGAGAAGCTGAAGCTTGTAATTGCTTCAGGAAGTAGACAGCCCTCAGACTAAAACCCTGCTAGAGGCTTTGTCATCGAGAAAGTTAACACAAAGATGGACAGAATCTTGCAAAAATATCAGAAAGGGAGATAAAGCAGAACAAGTTGGGAGTATAAAAATAGCAGAGGAAAAAACCATCAGAGAACAAAGCTAAGAAAAAAAATGTATTCTGTCATCATTAACCATAAGAAAAGATGACTAAAATATATTGTTGTCCATGAAAGCTCTAAACTATATGGAGCTGTGTTCCATCACAGGGGAAGCTGGGTTTGTATATGCTGAAGAAAAATATGGGGTTTTTTGTTCCATTTCAGCTCTTGCCATTTATAAAGAGCATTGTTAGACAATACTGCTGATAGATGTACCTGGATGTGTGCCATGATACCAGGTCTGTTGCTGTTTGCCAAGCAAAGCACAGCTGGTGTGATAATAACACATAATGGATCATAGTTCAATAGTTATCAGCTTAAATGCTTAGCAAAAGGGGATGATTTTAAGCAATTTTCCACAAATTCAGAGAGCCAGAAATAGAACTGAGGAAAGTAGTCTAAGGGTTGTTGAAAGAATCCTGACAAAATCCCAGAAGGGTTCAGTTCAGATCCCTGCTTGGCCTGTCTAAACGAAGGACAGCTACATTGAAAGTCACCTCCTGAAATGTTCAGGAGAAAGGCTATGTTCAAGCTACCTGACTGCTGACTTTAAAGAAAAAGGTATTGCAAATTTGTAAAACTCCATGAAAAGAGAGAGAAAAAAATACCCTAACAGTGTCCTGTGCAGCCCCAGGCCAGGAGACACACACGGTGCTACATTATGGGCACCAAAGGTGGCTGTTCTGAACTTGCTCCTGTCTACTGATTGCAAAGCAATCACGAATCAAAAGGAGAAATGGGACACCCTTCCTCCATGAAAAAAAAAAGGTGGAAAAGGAACAGGGATCTTAGAACAGGCCATACAGGCGTTAGTGGTCAGAAGGGGTCTGTGAAGCTCACAGCAAAACACCACAAATTGTGCAAAACTTGGACTGGCTCACAGAAGCACCTGCTTCTTTTCCACTGGAACAGAAGCTAGAATCATAGAATCACAGAATGGTTTGGGTTGGAAGGGTCATTAAAGCTCATCCAGTTGGAACCCCCTGCCACAGGCAGGGACACCTTCCACTACAGCAGCTTGCTCCAAGTCCCATCCAACCTTGTTCAAGTGGCCTTGAACACTGCCAGGGATGGGGCAGCCACAGCTTCTCTGGGCACCCTGTGCCAGTGCCTCAGCACCCGCACAGGGAAGAACTTCTGCCTTAGATCTAACCAGAACTTCCCCTGTTTCAGTTTAAACCTGTTTCCCCTTGTCCTGTCGCTGCAGTCCCTTATAAAGAGTCCCTCTCCAGCATCCTTGTAGCTCCCTTCAGATACTGGAATCTGCTCTGAGGTCTCCACACAGCTTCTCTTCTCCAGACTGAACAGCCCAAATTTTGTCAGCCTGTCTTCATATGGGACTTGCTCCAGCTCCTGATCATCCTTGTGGCCTCCTTTGGACCTGCTCCAACAGCTCCATGTCCTTATGTTAGGGACACCAGAACTGTACACATGGACACCTGAAGCCTAAATGTGCAGAATACAAGCAGAACGTGACACAAATAACTCATGCACATGATCATAAATGCAGTGGAGTTAGTGACTGGAACATAGAGATAGTTTTGTAATGTACACAGGGACATCACACACAGTGACACAGATCTCATGCCCTCCAGAGCAGCATGTGTGAGAATACACTGTGGCTTACATAGGTGCACACTGTATCTCAAACCTCCCCAGCTGGAAGATGTCACCAAGCCATGGAGAAATGCAGAGCATGCCTATTGCTGTTGAGACATACACACACTGGGTTCAGTCAAACCACACATCCTGAGCTTCATCGAGTTGCACACATTGTGAGTTCCTGCCACTTTTATAGTGGACTGCGTCACACATTGAAACGAATTATGTGTACACATACACAAGTGCAGTCTTACACTGTACACTCGAGTCAGCCACGCACCCAGCCAGCTTCTCCTGTGGACCCACAAGGCATGCACATTGAGCTCACTGCTCACACACATGTGCACACCCGAGGGTCTCACAAATGCCCTGGAAGCAGACATGGGTTCTCCTGCTCACCTGCAGACCCACAGTGCCTGGGAGGCAAGCAGCAGAGTGCGCATCAGAGGAGACCTGGACAAGTCCACTGGGCGTGACTGCTCCCATCAGTGGGGAAAAGAACCTCCGTGTCTCACTGGTGTCTGAACACAGCAGCAGGTCTGTGTCCTCCTTTGCCCTCTCCACCAACTGACTACAACGCATGCAGGGTAGAAGCCTGGATACGGCTCTGGGGTACTTGTCAGGCAGATCCAGCTCCTTTTGCTTCATCCCTTCCACACACATGCTGGCACACACAGCATGAGCCACAAGTACTACTGATGGGTGCCACACATGTAGATCATGATGCAGCAGGTTGCAGAAACATGGGTGAGACCCTGGTACATGCCAGTGGTGCAGTGAGTTCACCAGTCATGGATTCTTACAGGCACTCTGGAGGGAGTCTGTCATGCACTGGTGTACACAGCCACACACACAGCCAGCTTACACACACACAGCCACACACACAGCCAGCTTACACACACACAGCCACACACACAGCCAGCTTACACACACACAGCCACACACACAGACAGCTTACACACAACCACACAGCCACACTGGTTTACACAGCCACACACACAGCCAGCTTACACACACACAGCCAGCTTACACACACACAGCCACACACACAGCCAGCTTACACACACACAGCCAGCTTACACACACACAGCCACACACACAGCCAGCTTACACACAACCACACAGCCACACTGGTTTACACAGCCACACACACAGCCAGCTTACACACAAACACACAGCCACACATACAGCCAGCTTACACACACAGAGCCACACACACAGCCAGCTTACACACACACAGCCACACACACAGCCAGCTTACACACACACAGCCACACACACAGCCAGCTTACACACAACCACACAGCCACACACACAGCCAGCTTACACACAAACACACAGCTACACTGGTGTACACAGCCACACACACACAAACAACAGTCACACACACAGAGAGCTGGGTCTCACGATCTCACAAGGCTGTCCCATTGGCACACACAGAAGTCCATCTTCTGTAGGAGTGTCTCACCCTTTCAGGGGAGCCACAGGCACACAAACATGGTGTGACACACACGGAGCTCAGCCTCAAGGTGTGTGTGAACATGCATCCCGGTAAGTCACACTCACAGGTGAGTCACATGCACACAGGTGTCTCCTGTACAAGCAAACATACATCCACTGTCATACAAGGCTGAGTTTCATACTTGAGTTTCTCACATACTCAAGCTCACACATACGTATCCCTTAAGCGACAGACTAGGTGTATGTAGCACAGAATCCCACAGGTATGTGTGCCCTGCCTGTCAAGTACCCCTGTGCATACCAGGAGCTCTCAAGCGCTCTGTGTGTGTGTGCACATCCTCTCACACCCCCATGCACGCACAAACACACACTGTTTGTCAGACAGCCCACCCTGCAGCAAGTCCAAATACATCTATGCCTGGGCTTCACACACACATCCACACCATTCTCGTACATGTACAGGCAAGCATGCGTGGTATGCATTACATATGTAGAGTGGCTCAAGTGTGCACACACACCTGTGTGCACAAAGGCAGATGTGTTTTACACACACAGAGTCACACCCGTGCTGCAGAGCGAGTCAGGCCTGCACACCCAGAACAGGTTGTGCAAATATAGTGGGTGTTCATACACAAAACTCACGGAGGTGTCTCGCATACACACATGCAGGAGTGTGACACATATAACATGTCCCACACACATGGTGCATCTCTCACATACACACAGACCAGGGTGTCACATACACAGAGATGTCTCACACACATGCAATTCACACACATGCTGCAGTCAGACATGCACACGTGGAGCAAGTTGTGCACTCAGCTGAGTGTTGCAGACATATGTGCACTTGAGACTATATCACACACATTTATGTTTCATACATGCTCGGGCATGTCACATGGCGTCTTTCAGGCAAGATAGATTTCACATGCTTGGGTCTGTGTCAAGGATGCCACACAGTGTCTCAGACGTGCAGAGATGTCTCACACATACACAAATACAGGCGGCTCTGAAGGTGCACGCATTGCCTCAGACACACGGAATCACACAGGCAGCTGTTCCAGGTCACACCCTGTCTCTCACACGCATGGGTGTTGCACACCCACACGGGGGTCACACACAGCATCTCACGTGGTGCCTTTCACAGACACACGTGGGTGTCTCTGTGTCACATCGCCCCTCACACACGCGGGTACCTCCCAAACCCGCTGGTGGGTAGCATGGTCACTCAGTGCCTGTCTCCCACACTGGGTGGCTCTCACACCCTCTGTACCCCTCTCCCCGGTGTCTCACACGCACACGTGTCTCCCCTCAGGGTCACACACGGCCTCCCGTTGTCCCGCCGGCGCAAGTATCACACGCGGAGCTACGCACCCGACGGCCTCTTCTCATCCTCCTCCTCCTCTCCCCCGCCCTTCCTCCCCTCACCTCGCCCCTCCCCGCCCCGCCCCGGCGGTGCCCGTGGGCGCCCGGCGCCGGGGCTGCCCCGCTCCGCTCCCGATCCCGATCCCGCTCCCGCCGCCCGCGCTCGGCTCCCGCCGCGCCCCCGGAGCGGAGCGGGGCGGGAGAGGGGCGCGGCCATCGCGGTCCCTCCCGCAGCCCTGCGCGGCGGCCGAGGCCGGGGCCGGAGCCGGAGCCGGGTTGGCCGCGTACCCTGGCGGGATGTCGGGGTCGCGCTGCCAGACGCTGTACCCGTTCTCCGGGGAGCGGCACCGGCAGGGCCTGCGCTTCGCGGCGGGGGAGCTGATCACGGTGCTGCAGGTGCCGGACGGCGGCTGGTGGGAAGGGCAGAAGGAGGACGGGCTGCGGGGCTGGTTCCCGGCCAGCTACGTGCAGCTCCTGGAGGTAGGAGCGGGGCCGGGGAAGCGCCTATCGGGCGGAGGGAACGGCGATGCGGGGTGGGGGTGGGGGGGTTGGGGCCGGTCCGGGGCGCAGCGGGGGCAGCACCCGTCCCGGAGCGCCCCGTGCTCCTCCGGCCGGGCCCGGCCCCGGGCTGGCCGGCAGCGGGTGCCGCTGGTGCCGGTGGGTGCCGGCAGCGCTGTGGGAAACGCGCGGCTGCAAACCGGGGGTGCTGTCGGGGGCACACCGCGGCATCGCTCCGCCTGCCCCGGCCACCCCAGCGCCGGAGTGTGCTGGGTGTTGGTACGGGCATGCGGCACTCGGGGAAGGAGCAGGCAGCCTGGCCCCACTCCGGCAGCAGGAGCCTTTGGTTCCCTCAGTCTCGGTGTCAGGGTTCAGGCTGCACAGCGAGCTGCGGGCTCCTCTGGACAACAGCAGCAGAAATCAGTGGTTGAGGGGTCAGTCGTACACGTGGGCCAGATGCTGGGCAAGTTCCTCCTTTTTCTCTCTCTCCTCTCTCTTCCCACTGAACATCTTTTGGCTTCATACTGTGGAAGAAGTAACTCAGGTAGTTCCCCAGCTGGCTGGAGGTACCTTGCTGCACTGTGTGTGGCATCACCCCAGAGAGCCCCAGCAGAGGCACAGTCAGATGCCCAGACTCAAAAGCAAAATCACTGCCCAGACTCTGCCTTGTGCCTGACCTTTTGTCAGGATGCTGAGGAGCTGTTTGTTTCAGGTCTTTTCAGGGCCATGACAGCCATGGCAACAGTTGTATTTCCGCCTCAGGACTGCTTGAACTTGCTTGCTATCTCTCCTATGCAGACAAGACACAATGCAAGTATAAAACAGATGTCCATGAGGAGTGTCTTCACAACCTCTGCATTTCTGAAAGCAAGATATGAAACATCTCATGCACCAAAGCAAGAACCTGCCGTGAGCCCATCAGTCCTTCCCTCACTGACCATGGCCTGGTGACATTTAGAACTTAACCTGGGATGTGCATATGGGAACCGTCTCCCAGTGTCCCTGTGGTGACTGGGCCGAAGTGGTTAGCAGCACAGAGTTTCATGCGTCAGCCTCTGTTTGTCCTCCAGGATTCTAAGGGGAATCAGGCAACCTGCTGTGCTTACATGCAAGGCAGGCACTACCCACTCCAGGTTTTCCATGCACAGCCTCTGGGGAATGCAGAGTGGCAGGAAACATAGCCCTGAGCGGAACCAGGCCCCCCTCACAGAGCCATGTCCTGTGAGCGAAGGGTTCTGTGCAAAAGGACATTTGGCCTATAGAGCTGGCATTGCCTTTTGGTTTCTCTAGTCCAAATGAATTAAAAAAGCTGTGATGTTTCCATTCGGGTTGTGTTTCTCATATTTACCTGGAAAGATGGGAAAGTAGAAGCAGAATTTCCCCACCTGGTGCTACAAGCGTGGGGCCAGAGACTTTTCTATGCCACTGAAGCACTTGGGATTTTTTGGATAGCTTAAGAATGTGGGAGTCCTTTTGTTTGTCAGGTTTGCCACCTACAAGATCATTTCCTGAGATACGTGGATGTTTGTGGTTTCACACATTGCTAAGTATTACACACCTAGCCAGGAATTTAGGAACTGTTTGAGGCAAAATGTATCGTGAGATGGGACAAACTCTGCTTGGCAAAGGCAGTGGGAGATTTCTGCGTGCACTGTAACTTTGCTCTCGTATCATCTCCTTCTTGGAAACTCTTTTGCTATAGGAGTTGCACTGTGCTCAGATGGGTGCCTGAGCCTCCCACATGTGCACTTCTGACCCTCGGCTCGTGCACCACTGAAAACGTCTCTGCAGACCAGTTGTCCAGACAGACCAACCTCCTTTCTCTTGAGCAAACCTTTGGAAAGAAGGCACGAAGGACAACAAGCGCCTAGTGGTGTTCACTCTGGCATGATTTCATTCTCTCCAGAGGTCATGCCTGATAAGGACTATGAGCCAGAGTTAATAATTATGTCAAATAAGGGCTAATTAACCAATTTAACCAAATCTATGGGAACACAGGAACACAGAATAGATGTGTGAGAAGAAGTTGTTAAGATATGCATGTGTCTCTCCTGGCTCTGTGCAGGTGGCCTTTCCCTTATGTGCAGGTATGCAGCTACTTGCTCAGGGACCTGATCTAACTGAAAGACACCAGGCTAGAAATACTGTCTTCTCTGTTCTCTGATCCAAGGCCAACCACACGGACACTGGAGCTGGCACCAGGGAGGTGATGATAGTGGGGATGGAGCCATGAACATGATTCTCCTTTCAGTATCAACTAGCTCTTACATTGGCTTTGGGTGGCCCTGGCCCTGCAAATTTTGGCGAGGTTCAGTGTTATGTTCCAAGCTGAAGTTAACTACATGCTGCTGTTGAAAGAGGAAGATGTTATTCCTGCCCTCCTTTTCCCATGCCCAGTCTGCTCTAGCAGGTGCCTGTGCTCTTCTCTCTGGAGCCCTGTACCTCATTGTCCCAATGGACAATGGAGTTGGCTGCATTTTCTGCCACAGCAGTGACTGAATGTGGCTCATGACATTGTCCAAGGCGTGCCAGGCCTGGCAGGGTTTGCCCTGCATGGCACACACCCTTGCTTCTCACAACAAAGTCTGTCAGGTGGCTGTGTGCTACCAAAGGGAGATGACCTTCTTCTGAATTCTTTGTGACTTAAGCCTGCCACCGTGTATAGATAGGCAGGCTGGAATCTCTCACTCATATGACCTCACATTCACCAACACTGAAATCTCCTATAGTGCTGCTCTGAAGTCTGCAATGAGCTTTGGTCCTGAGCTGAAAGGGAAGAAGGTATGAAGGGCAGTAGCTGAGGGAGGAGCTCTCCCACCCTTGTGCAGTTAGTTTAGCAGCCAGTCTGCACCGTGCTGATTGCTGCTGAAAGAAGAAGGGACTGTTCCTGATGCTGTCTCTGCCTTGGGAGGAACTGTGCTCTACCAACAGCACCTGCGTCTGTCTCTTCACAGGCAGGCGGGCTGTGGAGCTGCCAGCAACCTATCACCCGCATGCTGCCACATGGCTCTAGCTGGTTCATCCAGGAGCTATGGAGAGGGCAGGCTCTTCCTCCTCATCTGCACTCACACTGAGTGGCAGCCATGGTTGGTGATTGCCCAGAGCAGGTTTTAATGGCAAATGTGGAGTCGGACAGCTCTGAGAAAACCATGAGGTGACTTGTGGAAATGAACTCCAGTGCTAGAGATGAGCACTCCTGAGGGTTTGCTGCTTTTGCCTCCTGAGGTCTGTTGCTAGCAAAAATTTGGTTTCAGTTCATTCATCACAGAAGATCAAAGAAAGATCAAAACTGTAGTAAATGTGGGACAATAGAGACGTAGGGAGGTAAAGAGGTAAACGTGTTTGGCATCCTTTGGTTCCTGCTCCTGTGGTTGCTGCAAGCCCGCAGTGGTGGGTTAGAAGACAACAGGTTGGAGTTTCCTGCTAATGACAGTGATAGAAACAGGGAGAGCCGGAGAAGGACTGGAAAAGTGTGTGGTGAGGGTAAGCTAGAAACAAGCATGTTTCTGAGCTTTGGAGAGGATACAGTTGTCATAGAGCAAAAGGGATAGCATAAACCAAAAGACAGGCTATCAGAAGCAGAGAGCAAAGTGAGCAAGGGAGGGTATTAGCTCTATGGTGGGGTTCCAGATGAGATCCCCAGGGTCAGGCTGGTGGGCCGCAGTAGGGGAGGCTGTTGTTGCCTAATTCACAGAAAAGCTTGACTTGGAAGGGACCTCTGGAGATCAGCTAGTCCAGCTTCCCTGGCCATGTGTGGTCAGGTTTTGAATGTGTACAGTGATGGATACTCCGCAGCCTTTCTGGGCAATCTGTTCCAGTGTTTGACTATGCTCACAGTTTTCTGTTTTGTTTAAAGGGATTTCCTGTATTTTAATTTGTGCCCATCGCATCTCATCCTTTCACTGGATGTCACTAAGAACAGTCTGTCTCTGCTTCTTTCACTGTGTGTTGTCCGTCCCGTCCTGGCCCCCCCCCCATTTTTCATACACATTGATAACACCCCTCTCAAGCCTTCTTTCTTGATGCTAAACAGTCCCAGTTCTTTCAGCCCTTCCTTGTATGGCAGATGCTCCAACCTCTTAATCATCATTGTGGCCCATTGCTGGACTGTCTCCAGTATGTCCTTGTCTTCCTTGTGCTGGGAAGCCAAGTACTGTTTCTTATCCTCCTGTGCTCTTGGAGATAGTAGGTTAATGGAGAAACAGACCCAGTATTTATTGAACATGAGAATCCACTGACACCAAATTTGTATGGTTTTGTCTTGACTGAGCTTGGTCTATGAGCAAGCAACACCCTTCTTCAAACTCAGGGGCTTGGGAAAAGAGGGATGTTGTTGCTTGTGATCCATATTCCATTGAGAAGACCACAATCAATTTCAACCTTCACCCCTCCTTTGATGATTTATGGCTATGTCAGCCATGAGACCTGAAAGTCAGGGACTAGCAGCTGTATCTTCTGACCATTTCCTCCTTCATGCTTTTGTATTTTGCTTGACCTTTTGACTATTTTGAGTGGAGCCATACAGGGGACTTCTGTACCAGACTGTTGCAGTCCCAGGTTAAGCAATTGCCCTTCCCAGCCTAGTGCAAAGAGGAATCTGTGCAGACATGGATGATGAGGTGTCCTTCAAGCCAGCATTGCAATGGTGAACACAGGTATAGAGCAAATGGAATGTCGTGGGTGCTACGGCAAGGGATTTCTTAACACTTGAAGTCTGAGTGCCTCCTCACCCCATCTGCATCAAGCGTGCTTGGGATGACGATACCAAGATGTAGAAAGATCTACAGAGCTCCAGACCTGAGAGCAACCTGGGACAAGTCTCAGGAGTGTCCCACTTTGTTGCACACTTTATTGGTGCAGGGCAGCATAGGTGTCAGGAAGGCAAGGTGGTGGTAGACCTCTGGGGTAGGTGCTCCAAGCGCTGCTTTGCACAGGACCCTCTGGGGAAACACTGGCTGTTGCGTCTGCCTTTCCTAGACAAG